AAAAAGCATATTTCTTTAGGAGTGCTTTATGTAGCTGAAAAAGTAAAATGAGGGAGAAATACTCTACAGATTGGCATTTGATACAAAAGAAAAATCCAGTTAGGGAGGCTCCAAGTTCAACTTCAGGGCGTCAGTGCTAGGGCACGGTCTGTCTTTGTCTCCCTCAGCTTTAGTAGCTGGAGCAATTCCTGGGTATAATTAGGTTTGTAGATTCACCTGCCTCCAAAATCACCTGGTGTTTCCCTTTCTCTGTGTGTATTAGTTTGCTGTTTTCATAAGATACCATTCATAAGAGATTAGATTTAAGACACCCTATTCCAGTATGACTTCAGGAACATGACAAAAGGGAACCCCAATTTCCAGAAAGGGTCATATTTACAGTATAGGGATTAGGAGTTAAACTTTCAGGAGATATAACTCAATCCATAACACTGCATCAAAAATAAAATTCTGCCCTATTTTTGGCACTATAGAGCTAGAAGTTTAACCAAAGAAGATGTCGCAGAGCTCCGTGACCATACCTCCCAGGACCAATCAAAACTTTGTTTTCTGTGACTGCCCAATCACTCAGCATACGCATAAACTTGAAAAGAAGAAAAAAGAAAGAAAATCCAGTTTGGGCCTAAGGAAAGAACTAACTAAAAACAATGTTTAAGGCTTCTGGCGGGACCTTGGCCATTTGAGACAAAAACTAAACCCTCCTAATAAACTCCTCCTGCAAACCAGAGACATTATAGTTCCAACTCTGAAGTATGAGGAGAAACTAACAAGGAATTATACTTTCATTTATAGAAGGAAATATTCTGAGGAAGCAAACCTGAACCCACAGGCAGCAGCGGGTTAGAGAAGCTATCTGGAAGGCTTTAACAAACCAAGTCAGAGCTGCTGAAACGTGCCTATTGACAAAGGGTTGGATTTTACTTAAACATAAACTCTTCATATTTTAGGCAAGAATAAAATAACTGATCAACTTCTAAAAAACAAAAGGCCTTCTAAGGTCCATTTTGATGTCTATTCTATCCTCCAACTAAAGTGCCAATCATCATGGGGTAACTTCCTCCACACATCTGTAGGACTCCACAAAGTGCCACAGCTCCATGCCACTGAGTAACCCAATCAGATGGCATCTGGTGAGCTTCCAACACCTCACAAAGTGAACCCTTACTCAGTGGCTCTGCCGGAACAACAGCCTGCTAGCATCCTGCCGTGACACAGTATCATGAGCCTCAGCAACAACATGGTCTCACTAAAAAGGTATAACCTGAATCCAGTCAAGCCTTAGAAGCAGGGTTTCTTAAACTTGGCACTATGGACATTTTGGGCCAAATAACTCATTGCTGTGGTGCAGCTGTCCGGTGCGTTAGGGGTGTTAAGCAGCATCTCTATTCTCTTCCTACTAGATGCCACCAGTTGCACCCTAACCTCCAGGCATGACAATCAAAACTCTCTGTAGATACTGCCAATTCCAGATACAAACTACAATCACTCCCAATTGTAACCTCTGTTTTACAGGAAATAAACAAGGACCACCATTAGGACACAACTGGAAAAATCCAGGAGCATTCTACAGCCTCCCTATTCAAAAATGGTGCAAAGAGCAGCAATTATGTGGCAACACCAAGCTAGTTAGGCAAGCAGAATTTCAGGATCCACCCCAGACCTCCCAAATAGAATCAGCATTTTAAGATCAAAGTGAGGGTAGGGGGTGATTTATAAGTACCCCAACTTTTGAGAAACACAGTTTTACAGGACAATAGACCCGAGTTCTTCTATGAGCCAGTGCTCTAGGATGGTGGAGAGGAAGGGGAAACTTTTAGATTGAAAGATTTAAGAGGCAGACGAAATAGAAGAAGTCATTCCGGTACAATTAAGGAACTATGAATATGCACCTGGTACTGGATGATAAAGAACTCTGGTGGTGCGGTGACAAAGCCATCTGACTGCTAACCAGAAGGTTGGTGGTTCAAACCCACCAGCCACTCCACAAAAGAAAGATGGGGCAATCTACTTCCGTAAATATTTAACCACCTCGGGAAATCAAAAGGGGGTTCACTCTGAGCCAGAATCGACGCAATGGCAATAAGTTTTTTTTTTTTTTTAACTGGATGATATTATAGAAGTATTGATAGTTTTGTTAAATCTGGTAATGATATTGTGGTTATATATGAAAACATCTTATTTTTTTAGATATGGATAGGAATAAAATGTTAAAATATTCATCATTTACTAAAAGCAATTTAGAAAAGGAAAAAAAACAACAAGCAAATAACTGCTAACTCTCAGTACCAGGTGTATGGGGTCATTGTACTATTTGCTCTTTTTTTCTGAATATTGAAATTTTTCACATCAATAAAGTTTAAATGCAATATGGTATCCTTGATTGGATGTTGAAACAAAAAAAGTAAATGAATGGAAAAACTGGTGAAATCTAAAAAAAATTCTGAAGTTTAATAACTAGTAATATACCAATTCTCATGTTTTGACAAATGAAGCATGTCTAGGGAAGACGGAAATATTAAGGGCAAGTGCAGTGGTTAAGCATTTTGCTGCTAACTGAAAGGTCACCAGTTTGAACCTACCAGCTGCTCCATGGGAAAGAGATGATGCAATCTGCTTCTGTAAAGATTTACAGCCTTGGAAACCCTATGTGGCAATTCTAGCCTGTCCTCTAGGGTTGCTATGAGTCAGAAGCAACTCAAGGCAATGAGTTAGGTTTGGTTTTTTGATGAAGAGTATATGGGGGTGGATGTACCATCTTTACATCTTCTATGTAAATCTAAAATTATTCTAAAGTAAAGAAGTTATTTAAAAAGAAGAAAAGTTTAGAAAGAAACAACAACAACAAAAAGCATAGTGAAGCACCCAAACATACTTGTAAAAGTCTTCATAGAAACGTCCCTTGTGATCCTGTCGAATTGAGGCTCGGTTTACTTCAGGAAATTCATCTGAAGTACAGAAAATGACATTGGTAGATTACACTGAAACCAGGACTTCACCTTTTCTCTGCCCTCCTTCCACTCTGGAGATTCGCAACACACACACACAACAATAAGTAAATAAAGGTAACTGTCTATCTACTAAGTTGGTTTTAAGACAATGTACAAATGACTAACTTATTGCAACCACTAATGGACCATGCTATTTTCTATTTGACCCTGTCCTCACAAAAGTTACGCTGGAGCAGTGCAAAGGGGCAGAAAATGAAAAGGGATGGCTGACGTGGGCAGGGGGTGTGAAAGCTTAACATAAAAGAGTTACTCACCGATAGATTTGGCATCATAGAAAGTTCTAGAAAACAGGACCACTGTCACTTCATGGCTACAGTTTTTCTCCTGGTTGTGAACAGAGAAAAAGTAAAGAGAATTCAATTTTACTTCATTTCCTTCACTACGTAGTAACCTGCATGCACATAATATTTTCACATCTAAGAGGCTCGGCAGCAGTGTACAGTACTGGGTAACTTCATGTGATTACAGGCTGCACAGTACAGCAGAAAGAGCCCCAGGCTGGGACTCAGAAGACTTAGCTTGAGTCCTATCTCTGACGCTTACCACTACCTGACCTTGGGCAAGTTACTTGAAGTCCCAGGGATGTGGAAAGTGCATTGAAGGCTGAAAATTACCAGTAAGCAAGGGACCCTGCCTTTCAGCTTTTGATCTGGCATAAAACTGATCAGGCCAGTGTCAGAGGCTCATGACACCCGCATCTGCTTCATGGTACTTTCAACCTCTTCAGGACAAGAGCAGCACCCATGGTATTAGACATAAGGACTAAAAACACTCCCACACCCTACCCACTGCCAGAGGCTGAGGACTGGAGGCTGCTCCAACTACAGAGGTACAAGCCAAGGCAAGGCATTATCTTTGGCCTGGAATGGGCTACTCAGAATAAATGTTTCCGTGGAGTGTGGAGATCCTGAGAGGTCAGTGTTTCCACATGGCCATGAAATTCAACTGGCACTAGTAAGCTAGCAAGCTCAGTTCCTCCTGAGACTTTAAAGACAACCACCTGCATGAGCCAAACCCTTCTCTAACCTAACTATACTTACTGACTATACCATTTCATAATCACCACATGAGGTCTGTAACACGACGTACGTTATATAACATCATATAATATAGGGAACTTTATACTCGTCCAGAGACACGTCAAGTGGACAGAAGTTCCTAACCACGTACATCGGTACCAAGAACAGGAAGCTAGGAAAAGATCAGAGTCTCATTGTTGAGTGCTGTCAAGTTGATGTCAACTCATAGAGACCCCATGTGACAGAGAACAACTGTCACAACGGGTTTTCTAGGCTGTAATTTTTATGGAAGCAGACCTGTCAGGTGTTTTTCCCATGGAGACACTACCTGGGTTCAAAATGTCAAATGTTGAGTTAGCAGCACAGTGCATAACTAGGTGCCCTCTAATTTACTGGACTCCAAGTGCTCCAAACTCCAGTCTTCACATCTGTCTGACTTAGATGTAAGTGACGTACCGGAAAAATGGCTCACTATGGGCTGGTGTGAACAAACCAGCTTCTCAACTACTATGTGATGGAAGAGATAACATATGCCAAAGTGGTGCCATGGTTTGGAAACACAGACATACAGAGACAGTATACCCCAGGGTTACAATCTCAGGATAGCTCTGAATAAATGGATAGAACCGAATGAGAATCCCTGTTCTGCTTTTACAGGCTTTTGACCATGAGCAAGCTACCTAACCTTTCTGAGCTCCATTTTCCCTACCTGTGTAATGGGGATAAGAGGATTGATTACATGAGATAATGTGGATAAACACCATGAGACTTGGTATGTCAAAATACTCAACAAATGTTAACTAGGGCTACTACTATTACTGTCACCACCACTACACTTTGAGCTCAAAAATGAATTCATGAACTCTCATGTTTGACCCTGCCATCCATAGGGTTAGCTTTAAGCTATTCAATAATAGACAGTAAATACTTTCCCCCAAGTACACTAAAATCAATGCAGTGGTTACAGAAAGTAATTTTAATTCATTTTCAAGTTCTTGCTTTTAAATCAAATTCTTGATTTTAAAAACTAATCAAATCCTAAGAGCAGAGCGCAGTAAACTAATGACTGGGCCTATGCCACAGCCTCTCCCTACACCACCTCATATACACACTCAAAGAATCTTGGGTGGGGAGGCATCCGAAGAGCAACCAGGCCAGACTTGATACGGACCGGACCAGACCGGACCGGACCAATACTGAAATGACCTTTATGTGGTCCAAGCCCATCCCCAGGGCCTGGCTTGACAGTCCCTGCTGTTTGTCCTCATCTCCACACTCAGACAAACACAATGGCCTGATTATCCCCAGCCACATGACTATAGAAGCCTAACTGGTCTGCTGATTTCCACCAAATTGCTCCTGGCCACTCAACTACTCTTCCTCAAATTCATCGAGAATCTTTAATAGCTCCTACTTCCTAGGACATCAAGTCCAAATTCATCCTGCCCTGACCTGATGCCATCCTTCAAATCCCATCTTATTACTGATTATGCCCTGCATAAACTCTCTGTGGACTCAGGTAATACCACACCCTACTCATGCCTCTCTTCACCCTCATACTGTTCTCTTCATCCAACACTCTCTCTGACTTCCTTTCCAACAATCCAGACCCTCCCTAACCTTCCAGATCCAAATGTAAAAGTAAATAAAGCTCCATTCCTGAAAATGCATGTTTTGCTATTGTTCAAACACATACACTTGAACTCCGCAGCTGGTCTGCAAGTTCTCTGAGACAAGCATGGGATTTCTTGATCCTTCAGAGGACCTTCTATAGTGCTGAGGAGGAGAACTGGAGTTGTATTTGAGGCCCTGCTACATGCAGATCCTTTAAAATGCCTGGTGAGGTAAAGACTATTATTATCTCCATTTTGCAGATAAGGAACCTAAGACTTAGAGAGACTAAATACCTCTCAGAGATAAAAAAACTTAATCAAAGCAGAAGCATAACCTTAAACTCAAGTCTATTGTAATCAAAACTGCATTCACTTTTCCACTGCATAAAGTAGCTTCAAATATTTTTTTATTAGGATAATGTTTCCAAATAAAATAAGATCTACCTGATTAGGGAATTTTTTTTAAACTTCTTCTTGTGTTTGACTTTGGTAAAATGCATGTAAGAAAAAAATCTATCATTAGAGACATTTAGTACATTACAGTATTATGTGACCATCCCCACTATAGTTCCAGAACATTTACATCAGTCCACTAGAACTCCCAATACCCATTAAGCAGTCACTTCCTCTCCCTTTTGCCCCTGGCAACCACTAATCTGCTTTCTGCTAGGGGCTTGCTGACTCCAGATATTTCCTATAAATGGAAACATAGTATGTGGCCTTTTAGGTCTGCTTTTTTTTCCTTAGAATAATGTTTCCAAGGTTCAATCATGCCATAAAATGTATTTCATTACATTTTATAGCTGAATTATATTCCATTGTACAGATATACCATCTTTGGTTTATCCATTCTTCAGCTGATGGGCAGTCATTTCCACTTATTTGGTTATCAGGAATAATTACGTTATGAAATTCATGTACAAGTTTTTCAGTGAATACGGGTATATATCAAGTGGACACTGCTGGGTCGTATGGTAATTCTAAGGCGATCTGGTAGCACAACGGTTCAACACTTGGTTGATAACCAAAGGTTGTTTAAACCCACGAAGTTTCATGGGAGAAAAGCCCTGGCGATCCACGCCTGTAGAGATGACAATGCAGGAAACCCTGTGGGGAAGTTCTACTCTGCTACATGGGGTTACTGCGAGTCAGAATCACGCCAATGGCAGACACCACGATCCTTCCGTGTGTAACTTTCTGAGGACCTGCCAAACTGTTTTCAACAGCAGCTGCATCATTTTGCATTCCCATCAGCAATGGATGAGGGTCCAATTTCTCCATATCCTCAGCAACACCTGTTGTTTTCCATTTCTTTGATCTTTGCTATTCTAATGGGGGTGAACTGCTATCTCCTTGTGGTTTTGATATTCACTTCCCTAATGACAGTGGGCATCTTTTCACATGCTTATGGGCTAATAATAAATCTTCTTTGATGAAATGTCTGTTTGAGTCCTTTACTCTTTTTTTTTTTAACTGGGTTGTTTCCTTTTTGTTAAATTGTAGAAGTTTATTACATATTTTGGATATCAGACCCTTACTGGGTATATGGGTCCCAAATATTTTCTCCCAGTCTGTAGGTTATCCTTTTCCTTTTATGATAAAGTCCTCTGGTGAAGAAAAGTATTTAATGTATGTGGGGTTCCATTTATTTACTTTTGCTTGTCACACTTTTGTTGATAAACCATCATTAAAAACTAGGCCCCTGAGCCACACTCCAGGAAGTTTAGGTGGTGTAGTGCTTAAGGCATGTGACTGCTAACCAGAAGGCCTGGCTGTTCAAACCCACTGGCCACTCCTTGGAAGGAAGGTTGGGCAATCTACTTCTGTAGTGATACCGCCTCAGAAACCCAAGGATGGGTTGCTATGAGTCAGATCCGACTCAAGAGCAGTGAGTTTGGTTTGGTTAGAGCTATACTCCTATTTTTTCTTCTATAAATTTTATGGATTTAGTTTCCATATTTAGGTCCTTGATCCATTTCAAATTGGTTTTTTTGTATGGTGTGAGATATGGATCCTGACTCATTCTTCTGAACATGACAATCCAGTTTTCTCAGCACCATTTTATTCACGAGACTCTTCTTTTCCCATTGAATGGACTGAACATCTTAGTCACCTTGTAAATTGGTACAGCTATTCTGGAAAATAATTGGAAGGTTCCACAGAAAGTTGAACATAGAACCATCACATGACCCAGTAATCCCAACCCTAGGAATACACCCAGAAAGAATGAAAGCAGAACACAAACAGAAAATTGTATTTTAACAAACATGGCAACTCTTTGCATCATAGTAGCCAAAAGGCGGAACAACTGAAATGTCCATTGACACATGAATCGATAAACAAAATGTTGTATATGCGTACAATGAAATATTTTTCAGCCATACAGAGAAATGAAGTTCTGATGTATGACACAATATGAAGCTTGAAAACATGCTGAGAAAAATAAGTCAGTGACAAAATGATAAATACTTATGATATGATGTGTTTATATGAAATAAGCAAAGACATAGAAACCAAAGATTATTACTGGTTACCAGGAGTAGGAAGGAAGGGGAAAGAGGGAGTTTTTGTGTAGGGAGCACTGAGTTTATGTTAATGGTAGTGGAATACTTTGGAAAGGATAGCAAGAAAGGTGGTACAACTTTAAGTCTGTAATCAATGTTACTGAATCACACATGTAGAAATTCTTAACCTGGTATGCTTTGTTGTATATATTTTTACAATAAAAATTATTTTTAAAATACTACAATGGGCAGGTCGACTCTGACACATATGGGGTCACCATGAGTTGGGGTCAACTAAACATTAACTGTTTTTTCTCTTGTAAGTCAGGGTATTAAATCCTTATCTGATACATGATTTGCAAATACTGTCTCTCATTCTGTGGGTTGCCTCTTCCCTTTCTTAATAGAGTCTTTTGATATAGAAACACTTGATGAAGTCCACTTTATTTTTAATTTGGTTGCTTATATTTTGGGTATCATATATGAGAAACCATTGTCAAATCAAGATCATGGAAATTTACCTCTATGTTTTCTTCTAAGAGTTTATGGTTTTGGCTCTTAAATTTAAATCTTTGATACAAATTGTTAATTTCTGTATCTGGTGTACATTCAGGATACAACTTTATTTTTTTGCATGTGGATATCTAAGCATTTATAGAAAAACTATTCTTTCCCCACTGAATGGTCTTGATGCCCTTGTTGAAATTAATTAACCATGAATGTACAGGCTTATTTATGGACTTTCTATTCCATTGATGTCTATTCTTATGATATTACCACACTGTTTTGATTACTGTAGCTTTTCAGTAAGTGTTTTAAAGTTTTAAAAAGCTTTGTAGTTGCTTATGTGCAACCAAACTTCATGGAATTTGATTCCTTGGTTTACCTTCATGGGACACGTCAGTTAATTGGCTTAATAACATGTTTTGTACTTCTGTTCTACCTCCTGGTTTGTGACTACTGCCTGAGGTCTTAAAAGTGTACAAAAGGTCACCCAAGGCACAACAATTGGTCTCTATTTGCCTGTAGCAACAGAGGAAGGAAAGTCAGGAATAGGAGGAGGCAATGAAATGTGAAGCTGAGGAGCTCTGGTAGCATAGTGCCTAAGGCACTTGACTGCTAACCAGAAGGCTGACAGTTCAAACCCACCAGCCACTCCTTGGAAGGAAAGTTGGGCAATCTACTTCCGTAGTGATACTGCCTTGGAAACCCAAGAAGGGGTCGCTATGAGTCAGGTCTGACTCGACTGCACATAACAACAACAACAATTGCCTCCATGAACTGCTTCCTCTGTCAAGAGACCAGAAGAACTGGATAGTGCCCAGCTACCATTACTGAACATTTTGATCAAAGAGTCCATAGCATGATTCTGATCAAAGGTGGCAGGGCTGCAGAACAGAATTTCATGGAATCTAGATTTTCTGAAGCTAGGGAAAGCCAGATGAACACCAAAACTACTGCCTGAGATAATCTTTAAAGCTTAACTGAAAAACATCCCTTGAAGTGTTCTTAAAACCAGACAGTTTAGCATAAGTAGTAAAGAATGTCTGCCTTGAGCATTAATGCTTTTATAAGAACTATCTACACAGGATCAAAATGACAACAGCAACTGGAAAAATTAGATAGGAACCTTAGGGGCAGCAAGTCTGTGCTAATGGAGAAGGAACAACTCAGAAAAGAAGGGTGAGAATGGTTGCACACCTCAAAAAATATAGTCGGTGCCTCTGAATTGTACATGAAGAAACTGTTGAACTGGTATATGTTATGCTGTGTATATTCTCAACACCAACAATAAAATAATTTTTTTTTTTTTTTAAATGTTTTGTAGTAAGTTTTTCAAGTCCTCCTAATTTGCTATTCTTTTCTAAAAGTGTTTTGGTTAAACAGGAGTCCCTTGCAATCCTGTATGAATTTGAGGATTAGCTTTTCCATTTCTGCAAAAGCAGGCTGTTGGGATTTTGACAAGGATTGCAATGAATCTGTAGATCACTTTGGATGAACTGCCATCTTTTAATCCATGAACATGAAATGTCTTTCCATTAACTTATGTCTTCCTTAATTTCTTTCAGCAATGTTTTATACTTTATAGTGTATAATCTTGTGTCTCCTTGGCTAAATTGATTCCCAAGTATTTTATCCTTTTTGATGCTACTATAAACAGACTGTTTTCTTTTGGGATTGTTCATGGTGTACAGTTCACATCTGAATTCTGTGTGCTGATCTTACGCCCTGCAATTTGGCTGAATTCATTTGTTAACTCTAATAGTTATTTTTGTGTGTATTCTTTAGGATTTACAATCTGCAAATAGAGATAATTCACTCCACCTTTTCAAATCTGCTGCCTTTTTTTTTTCTTAACTAACTCCTCTGGCTGGAACTTTCAGCACAATGTTCAACAGCAGTGGCAAATCTGAGCATCCTTTTCTTATTCCTTTTCTTTAGGGAAAAGCTTTTACTCTTTCACTATTGAGTATGATGCCAGCTGTAGTTTTTCAACAAATGCCCTTTATCATGTTGCTGTGACTAGGTAATTTAAATCAAGAGTCTTATCAATTTAGGTTTTGGCTAAAATAGCTCAGTTTAAAGCACCTTACTTAAAAACATTACATTTTAAAAATATCCACTGAATAATGTAGACATAATGAGACTTAGTGGATAAGGGGAAAAAAGTACCTTCCACTTGGTAAAGAGATCAGCAAGGAAACCATTCACAGCTTTCTCAAAATACAAATCTCCTGTAAAGAAACAATGAGCAGAGGATAAGCATCATCATTATTACATTCTTGCAATTTCCTCTTTTAATAAACAAATGGGACCAAAGAGAAAGATGGATTCTGCTACATTTTAAAACAAGATCATAAAAGCTGGATGTACAAAAATGGTTTCAACCTAAACTTGCTATCAAACCAAATTTAATGTTTATCTTACTCAGTAAGAGGCCATGGATTAATGGTAAAATCCAAGACTGAAAAGCTCTCATGATTAAAAAATATAGCCTATCTTCTGAATGAGAAGACAGTCCAACCCCTACAAATGATTATTCTCGTAATAATAAAGTTTGGTAGATGATGATCTGGTAGGCTCCAGGCATTCACTGATTCATCATTTGCAGTTACTACTGTGCTCAAGCAACCTGACGACACATGGCAACAAATCATTTGTAATTTTGCTAGACACAAATTTGAATTACATGCCATGAGGCTGGAGTGCTACACCCCATAGCAGCTTTATTGTTCTCTACTTAGTACATAGTAATTCTAATAAACTGAGGCAATGTTGGTGATTTTTGAGAGGAGAAATGAAAGATATTAAAGAAAGTGTTGGTTCTGGGCCATGGAATTACTCTCGATATGACTTTTCGTCCTATACTTATACAATAACTAAGGATCTGAGAAGTAAGATTTTTCATTAATACTTGAGTGCACTTCATGGAATTCAATTATGTAAGACAGATGTTTTCTGGAGCACTGAGGATTTGTAAAGGTCTCAGGATGTCTCTCTAGAGAATGTCAAGAGCTTACTGTAAATTGAGACCAACTTGGAGATGACCAGAAAATTCTCCCCAGAAGCAGTTACAACCAGCATTTGGGAACAGTACCATAAATATCAAAATCCCACATTTCACAGCTCATCTGAATAAATATGTAAACCATAGCAGACGTAGAACGAAACACCACCTGAAACAGATAAAAACATAATTACGTTAAAAAGTGCTGATATAAGAATTCCCCTAATTATGACGTGGGACTTCTGCCCACTGTGAGCTTATGGTAAAGGACAAAGACATGCAACATACTGCAATATATATGAACGTTCAATGAGGTTCACACAAAAAACAGAGAAGGGGGCCGACTCTTTTGGTAAGTCAAGCAAGCCTCATCACAGAGGTAGAACTTGAGCTAAGATGTGACAGATGATGAGCTGCTAGTCTAAATAATCATAATTTATGGCATACCTCCTCTATACCCAGGCTGCTGGCGGGAAAGCATAACTGGTTTGCAGGCCAGTGTGCTTTACCTGGAGCCTCTTAGCCAGCCCTTCTCTCTGCCACAAGGCTCTACAGAGGTTTGGTGGGAAAACAAAATGTAAATCTCTGACACTCCCTTAGTTCAACAGAGAACTCACTCCTTAAAGACACAAGCAGTCACCACATTTTTTTTCCCCTGGGCTTTCCATGGTACAAGGGGTACAACAGGCCTGCTTCCTCTCTAATGCAGAGAAACACAAAGGCTGGGAAATACACCTTTCAAAATGTCTGCTGTAGTTATCTCTGGCATTATGAGCGATTTTGCTTCTTTTTGTTCAACTATGAATTCTTCTCTCTTTTAATGATAAAATATTTCAGAGAAACTTACAGGAATATATTGTCCAATTATTTTAATATATTTAATAAATATGCAATGTTCTTGTAACTAAAAAGTTATTTTCTAGAAGATACCATTTTTAGGCAAAATTATTGTAGAGACAGGAGCAGATGAGTGGTTGCCTAAGTGTGTGGGGGCAGAGGCTTCTCACTGGTGTTATATACATTTGTCAAAATCCATCAAACTGTACACATCAAAGAGATGCACTTTACTGTACAAAAATTATGCTGTGTTAAGTTGATTTCAAAGAAATTCTTGAAGGTCAGGTTAACATACTCTATATTCTCATTTACCAAGTGTGTGTGTTTGAGTATACATAAACAAATAAAGTAATGTATTTTTTAAATGTTACTATGTTTCATGTGCCTTTCGCTTTGAAGCTGGAAAATGTTAAAATGCAAAAATGTTGCTTATTATAATATTCAAGTCACCCTAACGGTCCCTTTCTGTGTATGTGTTTTGTTTTTTTAATTAGTTGTTTTTAAAGTTCACATAATATAAAGTCATTTTTAAGTGGGTAAGTGGATGGTTTTCAGTAGTTATAACTACAAGCATGTATCAATAATTCATTCTCTTCAGCTGAATAACACTGCATTGTATGGATGGATACACTTTTGTTTATTCATTCATCAGCTGATGGACATCTGGGTTATTTCCACCTTTCAACTATCAAGAATAATGGCTCTTTCCACATCTGTATACAAGTTTTTGTATGGACATATGTTTCCAGTTTTCTTGGGTATCGGGTGGAATTGCTCAGTCACATGACAATTTTACATTTAACTTTCTGAGGAACTGACAAACTGTTTTCCCCAGCAAGCTACTGGATCATTTCACAATCCCAGTAGCAATGGATGAGGGTTCCAATCTCTCCACAACCTCACTAACACTTGTTATTTCCCACTTTTTTGCAGTGTTGTGTATTTTTAAAATTTAGCCAGCCTAGTAAGTATGAAGGCACCTGAGTGGCGCAAACAGTTAAGTGCATGGCTACTAACCTAACCAAAAGGTTGATGGTACAAGTCTACCAGAGGTGACTCAGAAGAAAATTCTGGCAATCTATTTCCAAAAGATCACAGTCATTAAAAATCTTGTGTGACACAGTTCTACTCTGAAACACAAGAGGTCATCATGAGTCAGAAATGGCTAGAGTGTAACTGGTTTCATTTAGTTTTTAGTGGGTATGTAGTGGTATTTCATTGTGTCTTTGATTACATTTCTCTAATGACTAATGATGTTAAAAATCTTTCTATATGTTTACTGGTAATCTGTATATCTTCCTTGGAGAAATTTCTAATAAAGTCAATTAATTTCTTAAGTGAATAATTTGCTTTCTCTAAGTGAATCAATTACTTTATTTGAATATTGTTCAAAGATACTATCAAATACTCTAGTTTATGCTGGTTACAGCCTTTTCTATATTTTAATATTTACATATACATATATTTGGAGGAGAGACAACGCAGGGATGCCAGAGTAGCAGGCCGGAA